TTTACAGGAATATTTCTGTAATGATTTAAAAGATTAGAACACTTTCTTCCTGCTCTCAGCCACAGTAGAAAAATGAGAAATTCTTAATCTTTTGATTTTCACTGCAGGCTGACTACAGTATCATATGTTCTTTATGGCACATGATGTATGGCATATCCCTACATATGCTGTAGTTAATTAAGCATAACCTCTTTATTGTGCCTTGGTTGATTTGAATAGATTTGAGGAAGTGGCCTCTCCCATCTGTAAGAACATTAATAAGGCTTGAAAAGCCCTTTTGTGGTCCTAGATATAGATTTACAAATGTCTCATATAATTATTTTTGCAGTTGGTAGAGACCGAAGAGTCAGAAGGAGTGAAAGAAGGATGGATGGGAAACTTCTGCAGAGAGAGATTAAATGGTAGGGAAGAAGGTTACTACATTTTTAGGTGCTGTTTGGAGGAAACATCTTGAATTGGTTCTTTTACTACTTTCTAAAATATCAGTTCATTGACCATGGCTTGTTTTTCTAACTGCTGTAATACTTAAATGTCAGAAGAGCTTCTTTGCTGAAAAAGAATGTGGAGGTTGGGAAAGATGTTCCAATCAGACCGATGGGAAGGAAGGCACAGAGACCAGGAAGACCACAGTAAGTTAGAGGCACAGGGAAGTGCTGGGTATGTGAGGGACAGGCTGAGCCGAGTGACGGAAAGCCTAGTGAAGGGAGGCTCAGTGAAGAAAAGTTGCAGTGGCAAGAGCAATGTGATCATAAACACTGAAGAAGAATAATAATTCAGCAAACATTTACATAGCATTCACTATATGCGTTACGTCTATTGTCTCATTTAGTACCCACAAGTGCCTTGTGAGGTGGAATCATTTCCCCATTTTACTGAGACACGGAGTTTGAGTAACTTGCTCAAGGTTCCCACAGTTGAAATTTGAGCCGAGGCAGCCTGGGTCCCGAGTCCATGGTCTTCATGCTGTGCTGCCTCTGAAATCTAAGCATGAAATATAAATTCTGCCTTGTGGTTACTGGGTATTTTGGATAAGATACATAAACATTAGATAAAGAACTTCATTGAATCTGTGCCTAATGTTTGCAGATGGGGAAAACATATAGTGACAAGAATTGATTTTGATTTCTCTTCCCCCAGTTTTAAATTGGTAGGGGCAGGAGGGCTTGCATGTCTTACATTTAGTTGAGTGTTGAGCACCTCTCATTTGCTATTAGCTGTGATTGAGATAAAAGGCTTTTGATTAAATAATTAGCTTTGGGACTAAAGTTAGAAAGAACCCAGGTACTACTAGCTCTGTGATCTTGAGCAGGTAATAGTCGCCGTAAACCAGGTTTCCTTATCTGTGAAAGGGGTAGTTTCTACCTCAGGGTCATTGTCAAAATTTAATGAGTTAATATTTATAAATTGCCTGGCACATAGTGCTAACATAGCGTTAAGTAAATAAAAAATAACAGTTGACACTTGTGCTTCCCTGCTTTCGGACATCGCATATATCTAACATAGACACACGCCCACACCCCAGGAAGTAATACCAAGAGAAAGTATATTTTAGGAAAGGAAGTGAAGGGTGGCAACTGAATGGACAGATAGGAAGAGTAACTGAGGAGTCTGTGTCCAGTTTGGATCCCACAGATATCTTTGACTTCAGATTTCTTCCTCTGTTTATCCGTGTATAATAGTTCAACAGGCGGAAGAAGTACATTTTCTCAAATACCACTCTCCTATTTAAGAATCTGCAGCCCCATCCAAATGTTTAAGTCTCGTATCCACATTCCTCAGCAAGGATTTCAGTTCCTTCACTGAACTCGTCCTCCTTTTGTTTTATCTTCCCATCTCTTGTTAGTGATTATAAAGTAAGTCTAGCAGGCAAACCTGCTTGTCTTCATGACTTGTTCGTTCTTGTCTCATTGTTCTAGCTCTTCTCCAGTCTTCTCTCACCACCATCTTCTCTCTGACGTCTTAGTAGATTAATTGACCATATTCAGTGACATGTGATCTCACTGCCCACTGATTCACGTTTTCTGTGGGTGTAGTTATTAAAGTCTCGTATTAATAAGTAATTTAAGAAACGTGTTATTTCTGTCCCCTTTTTTAATTTTAAGTTTTGTTTTGGAGTTTTTGCATCATAGTAGAGTGTTCCTAGCACAATGCCTTGCATTTAGTGAGCATTAGTGAGCAGTAGCTGAATTTTATCCTACTTCTCTCACTTGCAGTGCAGTATTTAAAGTCATCAAAGGAGGTGTAGGTGTTGACCACTAAGCTGATGCTGTGGCTTGTCCGTCTGCTGAGGAGTGGCGGGAGTGTCTTTAATGTTCGTTGTCACCAGCGGTCCTTAAACTTGAGGGTGCCTCAGGATCACCCGGCTGGTTTGTTGGACGACAGATGGCTGGGCTCCACCCCCAGAGTCTCTGATTCTGTACATCTGGTGTAGGGCCCAAGAATTTGAATTCAGTTTGGCGACTACATTTTGAGAACCATCTCATCAAAGAAGTATTCAGTTGTACTGCAGTCAGAAGAGCAGTTAATAAAACCAAGAAATGAATGTAGAGGAATAAGAAAGTATTTGATGTTCATAAGTTTTCAAGCGTTAGGGAGTCTTAATTTTTGTGTCTGGGAACCCCCGGATATCTTTTATTAGAAAAGAGAATGAAGTGTTTTCAGAATTGTGTATTAGCCTTCTATAGCTGGGTAACAAATGACCACAGACCTGATGGCATAAAACAACACACATTTATCATCTCAGTTCCTGTGAGTCAGGAGTTTGGGCATTGGTTAGGTGGCTCCTCTGCAGTTCAGGTGTCAACAGGACTGTGTTGTCATCTAGATCTTGGGGTTCCTCCTCCAGGTTCGTGTGGTTGTTGGCAGAGTTCAGTTCTTTCCAAATGTAGGGCTGAGGCTCTTGGCTCCCAGAGGCTGCCTGCTTTTCCTCCCCACATTACCTTCACCATAGGCAGTTCACATCACTGCTGTTTGCTTCAAGGTCAGCTGCAGACTCTTCTCTAAACTGCTAAGATGGAGTCTTATATATGAAACTAGAGGCCTGGTGCACGAATCCGGGGTGGGGTCCCTTGGCCTGGCCTGTGGGGATCGGGCTGAAACCAGCTCTCCAACATCCCCTGGGGGTTCCCGGATTGCGAGAGGGCAGTTCTTGGGTGATGCCCCCGGAATCGACCTCCCTCCTCTCTGGTTCTGGGTGAGTCACCGCTCGGTAGCTCCTGCGTTGAACGTCTGCCCCCTGGTGGTCAGTGCGTACATAGCTACTGGCCGGTCGGCTGGTCGCTTAGGCTTTTATATATATACTAGAGGCCTGTAGCACGAAAAGATTCATGCCAGCTTAGGCCCAATCTCCCAGGGAGCGGGCCCAAACCAGCAGGTGGTCATCCCCCGAGGGGTCCCAGACTGCGAGAGGCCACAGACCGGGCTGAGGGCCCCCCCCCCCCCCCGCACAAATTTTTGTGCACCGGGCCTCTAGTTTAAAAATATTTGTTAATTTTTCCATCATACTTTTAAGTCTTGAAACACTTATGAGGAAATATTTTCTGCATATTCATAAAAATTTCAGGAAGAAATTTTGACCTTTAATTATGATTTTAAAAAAATTAGACACTCAAATTGAAACCAGACAATCAATGGGTCCAGGCTGCCTGTCACTCCTTGAGCCAAGTAAGCAGAGACAGGGTTGAATCATATGAGCGTTTATTCCAATAATGCTGGCAGTATGGGAGAGCAGCAGGCCATCTATGAAAATCTGCTCTGCACCCCCACCATAAGCCAGCTGCTTATATTGGGGTGGACAAAGATTCCATGGGGAAGTAGGCAAAAGGAATAAGAATAGGTATGCAATACGGGTGTCACTGGCATGGGGAAGTAGGCAATGCCAGCTGGGGTGAGACTCCATTGTTTGGGCAACCAGGTTGTTAATCTTTCCATGATAAATGAGAGTGGACGGAATTTCAAGGTTGACTCCAGGTCTCTGGAGTATACAACTCCCAGCCAGGTTAGAATGTGCTTTCTTAAATTAGAACAAAACAATCAAGGTTAACAGAGCATGATTAATATGTCTTAAAACTACAACTAGTCCCCAATATTCTATTTCTGCACCTAAGAAAATGCTTACTACTTACTTTATATACATACTAAGCATAAGTACAACATACAGGCAAACTTTTTTCAAACCTGTGACTAGTGTAGCATTGTTTAAATGGTGGCTGGACAAATTAGGTAATGTTCCCACTTCTGGAGGTGGGAATTGTCCCTTACCGATTTTGTATGCCTTCTCCCCCACACCTCGTGCAGTGCTCTCTGTATGCCAGGCACTCCAATGTGTGTGTCTGATGAATGTCATCAACAGCACTTTTAAAGTTTTACATTATTATATACAAATATTTGTTAAAATTTCCTTTTTTTTTTTTTTTTTTTTTTTTACTAAATAGCTCAATAACTTAAATAACACTTACTGTGGGGGCAGGTAGTACTATAATTGCTTCATGTGTATTATTAGCTTAACTAATCCTGGCAATCCTTTAAGGTAAAAGTTATTATCCCCATATTGCAGGTGAAGAAACTATGACAAGTAACTTGCTCAAGGGCACACAGATAGTAAGTACACTAGCAATGGTATCAAGAGGTAAAACAACTGGATTCCTCTAAGTCCAGGGATGAAGGAGGTTGAGTGAGAAGGTGCATGAGCATGTTTGAATGCACACAGTGTGCATATGACCAATCTTGATTCTGTATAGTAAGTGAGAACTTAGAAGCAGTATAGATTTTTCTGTTGAAACACGATAATATTATAAAGGTTGAGTAAAAAATAGCTGGCTGTGCTTGACAGTTTTTGCCTCATTTATATTGCTCCTCCAGTTTTATTATTCAGATGATGACATCATGTAAATAGACATATTCTCCAATTTACTCTTGTACTGTTGTTTTCAGTTTAGAAATTGTTCTGTTTGCTAGCGTGTAAAGGTTAACTCTGAATATTTTCTTTCATTTCTTAACAGTACAGTGCTGTAGATACCAATCCACTCTCTCTGTATGTCATGCATCCATTTTGGAACACTATAGTAAAGGTAAGATGATTAATAGGCATGCATTTGTTTTAGTAAGTTTAAAATTTTAAACTGTTTAGTAATTTTTATAGGTATCTTATTAAAACTGTCCGGTCATTAACTGTAAATGACCACCTGCTGGTTTGGGCCTGCTCCCCGGTCACTTAGACTGTAAAACTGGACAGTTTTAATAAGCTATCTAGAGAAACTACTCCTCTTATCTCCTTTCCCTTTTGATTTATCTCATTGTTGAAATCTCAGTTTATACTCTGGAATTCATAATTTTATAAAATTTTCTAAAATAAATGTAATGTTCATTAAATATAGAATTATTTAAAACAGAATAGAAAGAAGAAAGAAGTGCTTTCTTCTATCAATTGCAGATTGTGGTTTGCATTTTATTATAAATAACTCCTGCATATGATCTTTGAGAGAGAGAGGAAGGGAGAGGGAGAAAGAGAGAGAGAAACACCAATGTGAGAGAGAAACAGCAATTGATCTCTTAAATTATAGCTTTTATTATAATTTAAATTTGCATGTTGTGCTGTGTGTGGAAAGAGATATTTCTCTACTTTAATTATATTCTAATTATTTTGAAAAATATAGGTATTTCCTACTTGGCTGGCTCCAAATCTGATAACTTTTTCTGGCTTTCTGCTGGTTGTATTCAATTTCCTACTTCTGGCATACTTTGATCCTGACTTTTATGCTTCAGGTAAGATTATTAATTTTAGTATAAAATTTGAAATGTCCAGACAGAGAAATGATATGATTATTTTCTGGTTTTATTAAGATGCTATATTTTTGAAAAGTTTTAGGTATAATAAGGGTATATAAAATGTCAAAATTGGGTATAAAAGCTAAGATGTGTTTTCACAGTCTGTATGTGTGTTTCTATTGAGTTCTAGAAACTAACTTGCCTATTTAATTTAGAAATGCTATCCAAAAGCATAAGGTTTTAGTAAATAAAGAATAACTGGATTTATAAGAAGATACAGGAGTAGGACTACAAAACTGCTTGAAAATGAATTTAAGTAGAGTCCAACCTACCTACCAATTCCAGAAATACCTCTTCCTTTGTTCTAGTTATGGGAGAAAAATCCCGTTTTCTAAAGGGAATGTAATGTTGCTCTCCCTCTGCTCAGCATCCTTACTTCTAACAATTCCCAGTTTCCTCTAAAAATGGTTGTTAGACCTTTAAGTATTTATTGACAGAGTCTGGATCCTTATTGGGGAAGACAGGGAAAAGTCACTTTGGGGAGGCAGTTTCCAGCCCGCTCCCACCTGGGATTCCAGTGTCTTCTCTCACACCTATTCCTGTCTTTGCTGACTTCCTCACCCAGCTTCTGCTCTGGCAATAGGAGTGACTCCGGGGTGCATTTGGGCTGGGGGTGGATACTGCGAGACAGGATCTATTTTTATCATTCATCCAGTTGATGAAGTTGCGAGGAATAGAAAGATGAAGGCAGATTAGTATTTTTTCATTCTAAGTTAGAGAATGTATTTTCCAATAAGAATACTTATAAATGATGTAGTCGGGAGTTTTAGTATTATAATTCATCTGTGTTCTAGGTTCAGCAGACTTTTGTGGACTAACCTGGAAAAATTAACAATCACTGAAAGCATTGTTTTTGTAGGAAAGTTTGGTGTTTGAAACACTTAGGAGTTTTGCTGTTATAGAAATTCTGTATACATACACCTAACTTTATCAACTGAAACTTTTAGCCGTAGCTTCTGTCCATGTAATAAAATGGTCATGGAAGATGATAAAGTACTATATGAATAATAAGTAAGATTAAATTTCATTAAGTCTGGTTTTGATACTGTGTTTTTTCAAATTTGTATTTTTTTTTTTTAATATATTTTATTGATTTTTCACAGAGAGGAAGGGAGAGAGATAGAGAGAGTTAGAAACATCGATGAGAGAGAAACATCGATCATCTGCCTCCTGCACATCCCCCACCGGTGATGTGCCTGCAACCCAGGTACATGCCCTTGACCGGAATCGAACCCAGGACCTCTCAGTCCGCAGGCTGACGCTCTATCCACTGAGCCAAACCGGTTTCGGCTCAAATTTGTATTTTAATCCTCAGGACAGCCTCAAAAGTTTACTTTCTAACTAGAAATATTATTTTCTCAAATTAAATAAGAATACTTAGTTATTAAGAGAACTAAAAACATGTAAGTATTATATATATTTTCCCGAATCATATAAGTTGAAGGACCAGATCAACCATTTAGTCCCAATACATTTGAGAAATGAAAGACAGGTGAGGTTAAATGACACATTTAGGTCACAATGCTCATCGCTTACAGAGGCATGACTAGAACCCGGGCCTCCTCATTCTAAGTTGTTCTATCTTAGGGGGTAAAAGTGAGGTGCAGACATTTCATTGTGATTCTGATGCCAGAATCATCCACTTGAGGTCACCTATCTGTACCAAATCAAAAGGTCTTTTGTTTAGCTAATTAATGCAGTAAGAGAGTATAGGTTGAAGGCTCAATACATATTTGTAAACAATGAGGATAAGATTAAACACAAGCATTTTTACATTCTAAAGACGTTTTTCATTCTACATAAGATTTTTAAGATGAATAATCAGTCGTGAGTTATGATTTAAGCTCAAAATAAATACCTATTGTTTATGAGGGGTTGCACAGTTCTTGTTTCTTTTTTCCAGAGTTTATTGATATTTTTTAATATTTACCTAGTTCTGTATTCAAAATATATTGTACAGTATTGTAGCTTCTATTTAATAAGTAGAAACTTGTTTTACCTGGCAGTATATACCATGGTAAGAATGATGGTACTTAGACTGTATTACACTCTGAGTTGCTTTCCTTTGCAGCACCAGGTCACAAACATGTTCCTGGCTGGGTGTGGATTGTGGTGGGCATCCTCAACTTCGTTGCCTACACTCTAGGTAAGAAATTGGCAAATACCACCTTAGTCAGTGGCTGGTGAATCTGTCAGCAAAGATAGCCAACCACTAAGTTAACATTTTTTCCTATGCTTACTTCATTTTAACTAGGGTTTATTAATATCCTGTTCAATTTAATAAATATGTTTTTGAGTTTCTCTGTGAAAAAAAAATTGTTGTTCATTGCTAGGGATTTAAAGGATAAGATAGGAGTTGGCAAGCTATCACTTGTGGGCCAAACTGGCCTGTTGCCGGTTTTTGTAAGTACATTTTTATTGGAACACAGCTGTGCTCATTCCTTTACATGTTGTCTATGGCTGCAATCTTGCAACAAAGGCAGAGTTGAGTAGTTGCCAACAGAGACTGTATGGCCCAGAATGTCTAAACTATGCCCTAGCTGGCTCTTTACAAAAAATATTTGCCAGCTTACAGTATAAGACATTATTTTTGCCTTAAGTTTGGGAAGCAGTGCTGACATACCAAATGACTGCGGAATACTGAGAGGTCCTATGTAGAGCACAGTGGGAGAACAAATAGGCCAGTGGTCAGTTCTTATTTGGGGGAAGGAGTAGTCAGGGAAGTCTACTGTACTAGGCTATACTGTCTGCCCCGCCAAGAATGCTTTTCATTGGATCATCTTGAATGGCTTGTCCTGAATTCTCTTGATATCCTTTCCTGCTTTATTTTTCTCCGTAGCATTTAAAATCATATGACCTGGTAGCCATTTACTTGCCTACCTGTTTGTTGTCTGTCTGCTCCAAAATATGTTTCTTGAGGAGGATGGTACTTTGTTTTCACTGCTGTGTACCCAGAGTTTAGAACATAGTAGGCACTCAGTAGATAGTTCTTAAATGCTTGTGAAGTACAGACCCTGACTTCAAGTTGCTTAGACCTCTTCGGATAAAAATGCCTTACACATAAAACCAGTATAATCTGGTGCGTAATTATGGTGGATGACCAGAGCTGCCAGAGTTTGGGGAACGGAGAAAGTGAAGTCTAGAAGAATTAAGGAAAGAGCTTAGTTACATATTTAGGTAGAGGATTCTGAACATCAAGTTATTCAAGATCAGAAGGTTTTAAAATTCTGCTGTTTGGTTGCCCAGGACTGCAGGAGGAATTAGCCTAATTCTAGGAAAGGTGAAGCTGGCCTGTGGCCTCTAACTCTCTGACTTCTAACATTGAGCATTTCATAAAGAGCCCTGTGACACACTGTATACTCTACCTGTCTCAGGCCCACAGCTCTGGCAAGAATCCTGACCTAACACGATTTGCTGCAAAATGTATCTTGAACTAACCTGAGGCAATTTACAACCTTTTATTCTACTAGTGGGACTATTCTTACATTTTGCTTCAGAAATATTAATGTGTTTGATCACAGTGTGCTGCTCTAGGTCCTACTGGGTTTCTTGAAAATATATAGCAGTGATGGCAAACCTTTTGAGCTTGGCGTGTCAGCATTTTGAAAAACCCTAACTTAACTCTGGTGCCGTGTCACATACAGAAATTTTTTGATATTTGCAACCATAGTAAAACAAAGACTTAAATTTTTGATATTTATTTTATATATCTAAATGCCATTTAACAAAGAAAAATCAACCAAAAAAATGAGTTCGCGTGTCATCTCTGACACGTGTGTCATAGGTTCGCCATCACTGATATATAGCATATTCCCTGAATTACCTTTCTTAAAAAAAACCCCACTCTGGGGGAAGAGATCAACCAAAGGATTTGTATACACGCATATAAGCCAAACCAATGGACATGGACAACAGGGGGATGAGAACATGAGTGGGGGAGGGGGGGTAGTAGGGGGGGATAAGGACACATTTCTAATACCTTAACTAATAAAGAATTAAAAAATATATATATAAAAATAAAAATATTGAAGATGATGAAAAAAACAAACACCCACGCTGAAGCATATCGAGACCTCAGACTTGTGGCGCTAGAACGGGTTCAGTGAGAAGATGCACAAAACCTAATTAATATGTAATGCATGGGTTCAGTATTTATTATAACCGTAGGAGTTGCACTGAAAATAGGAAAATAAGCCAGCAAATAATGAGAAAAGTCTTAGGAAATATTTTAGCTACTTAAGGGCATTAAGACCTTATATAAGAGAGAACTGCAGTCTTTGGGCAGGAGTTTGGCATTCATCCTTAATATATTCAATATTTTTGAAAGCCTTCTTTGTCACAAACTGAGCTGGGCACTGGGGTAATACTGTGGTGAGCAAGAAACACAATACAGTAATTATAAGGCATTTCTAATTCCCTAAATAGGAATCTTTACAGTTAGCCTAATTCTAATGCACTTAGTTATCAAAACTGTTTCTTTTGAGAAATTTTTATAATTCAGAATTTTCTTTTTTAACTAGATTTTACCATTCTCTTTCTCTCTCTCTCTCTCCTCCTTCCCTTCCTTCCTTCCTTTTTCCCCTTCTTTCTATGTGCTCCTTCATTTCCTCACCCCCAGGGTTCCTCTGTTTCTGCCCTTAAATGAAGGTACTCTATTATACTTGATCCTTAACTTTCTTTCTTCTGATATTCGGGGTAATCCTGATTCTTAACACTATTGAGATGACTCTTTTGTTTATAGCTAGCTGTTACTTATCTTGAGTTACTAATAATAAGTACCCTTAGGTTGAATTGCTTGACATTACCGTGTGGATACCCTGCTAACACTTCAGTTCCAGCCTCTGAAATTGTACTCAGCATCTTTTCTATCATTCTTGTTCCTTCTACCGACTTCCTTGTTTCAATTAACACTACCACTGTAGTGTTACCCAGACTGGAAACTTTGGAGATGGTCTTCTTGTCCTTTGGCCTCACCTCTCTTTTTTTGCTACCTTGTCGTTTTTATTTTATATCTCACCAGTCCCCAGCTTTTCATTCATACCGCATTCCATCGCAGTGTTAGCTTACTAATTGCTCCTCTTCCAGCTTGTCATTCACACTGATGTCAGGGGAATCTTCCGGAAACACTTCATTGACTTCACCCTTGTCACTCCCCTGCTCAGATACTTTTAGTAGCCCTTCCTCCTCCCTAAAACTTTTAAATTGGCCCAAACCTCCCTTTTAGCCTCTGTGTACCGCCCTCTTCACATACTACTTTCTAGTCAAACTAAACTGCTTGGCTTTCTCAGAACAGGCATGTGCTTTTCCGTCTCGGTGTTTTTGCTGGTAGCACTCCCTCCCCTTGAAATGGCACACTCCTTTATCTCTTGTCTACTGAAACCCAACTCATTCTGTATGTCCCCACTCAGATTCCATCTTGTCTTCCAAGCCATTCTAGAGGTCTTAGCCTGAAGAGAGCCTGTCCCTTTTCTGTATGTTCTGTGGTGTGATATGCTATGTCTTTAATGACCAATTTTTTCTCCTTCCTCAGTTGTAAACATAAACTTAGTTTATTCTAAGATTCTTGTAATCCCTACAAAATTGAGAATAGTGCAATGCATAGCTTCTATCCATTCTTATATTTACTGAAACTTAGTATGTGCATAACTTTTTTTCTGAAAGCACTTACAATTGTGGAGGCGGTAGCACTGTAAAGAAGTGACTGTGCTATCAAACAAGATGAAATGGGTGCTGTAACTGAAGTACAGAGTGTTTCTGGATCCCAGAGCAAGGAGTGGTTAAATGAGTTATAATGAGTAACTGCTGAATGAATGTTTTCTGGAGGCTTGAGAATGTGTGGCTAGTGGAGCAATTCCGTTGTTAGGCAGATTTGGAGAACTTCAGAGCCCAACTAGAATGCTTCCTCCTCTAAAACTGACACCATTCAGTGTGATATAACATTTTAATTTTAATATTTATTTATTAAAAATCTTTATTGTTGAAAGTATTACATATGTCCTCCTCCTCCCCCACTGACCGCTCTCAGCCCCCCACCCCAGGCCTTCACCACCCTATTGTCTGGGCCCATAGATTATGCATATATTCATACAAGTTCATTGGTTGATCTCTTCCCACCCACCCATCCTCCCCTGCCTTTCCTCTGAGGTTTGATTAAACTTAGAGAAATTACAATTAAAATTTCAATTTTATTTGTGAAATTTTTGAGTTATAGGAATTAAAGGTTAGATTTTTATAGTGCTGGCTGGTAGCTGTACGTTAATTAGTTAACATTCCTGTGATATGCTGATTTTTTTTATACAGTTTATTACAGAAGTCTTTCTCCATACTAGTAAGATTTGACCTTTTCCTGTGGTAATGTGTTTTTGTTGCAGATGGTGTGGATGGAAAGCAAGCCCGCAGAACCAATTCCAGCACCCCGTTAGGGGAGCTTTTTGACCATGGCCTAGATAGTTGGTCATGTGTTTACTTTGTTGTCACTGTGTATTCCATCTTTGGACGAGGACCTTCTGGTGTCAGTGTTTTTGTTCTTTACCTGCTGCTATGGGTTGTTTTGTTTTCTTTCATCCTGTCCCACTGGGAAAAGTATAACACTGGGGTTCTTTTCCTGCCATGGGGATACGACATTAGCCAGGTGGTAAGTATGGGTTTTCACTTAAATTTTCAATATTGCATCAATTTTGGGGGGAAGTTTTTATCATTCCTTTTTATTGCCCTTACGCTTTTTAAAAAAAATTAGAACTGATGTGTGCTTTTTAAAAAATCATTTTATATTATTTTTAATTTATTTATGGAAAATTTCAAACATATACAAAAGTCAAGAGGATAGTAGAGTGAACCCTTATTTATGTACCTGTTACATAGCTTCAGCACTTATCAACACGTGGCCAATCTAGTTTCATGTATGCCCTATCTCCCCTCCTCCCCCTGCTCAATTATTTTAAAGGAAATTCCTGAAATTATATGATAAATATTTTACTATTAACCTCTTAATGGTAAGAGCTGTTTGTTTGTTTATTTATTTATTTTTATCCTTACCTGAGAATATTTTTTTTGTGTGTGTGTTTTTAATTGATTTAAGAGAAAGGAAGGGAGAGAGAGAAACATCCCTGTCAGAGAGAAACATCGATCTGTTGCCTCCTGTATGCACCCCGACTCAAACTCTCAACCAAGGTATATGCCCTGACTGGGAATCCAGCCTGCCACCTTTTCATGTAAGGGACGAGACTCTAACCATCCGAGCCACCTGACCGTGGCAGTAAGAGCTCTTTTTGAAAAACATAAACACAGTTGGTTAGGTGTCATCCGTATACCGAAAGGTTGCTGGTTGATTCCTGGTCAGGGCACATGCCTGGGTTGTGGGCTCCGTCCCGGGTTGGGAGTATACAGGAGGCAGCCGATTCATGTTTCGCTCTCACATTGATGTTCCTCTCCCTCTCCCTGCCTCTCTATAAAAAAATCAAAAAATTGTAAAAACTAAACAAACTAAACATAAATGCAATGCCATTATTACATAAAAAAATGAACAGTTTCTTAATGTGAATAAACTTCCATTTTAACTGTTGATTTTGTAAAAGTAAAAAAAAAAGATATGTACATATTTATTGGCTTTTTCTTCTTGTCACCAACTTTTCAGTGAGTAGCAAGATTTGTTTTTTCTTACTTCATAGGCTTGCTATTAACTCTCCCTGCCTTGGAATCATGCTTTTTGTGTTGCCATTTTGCCCATTTGCACCTAAGGCTCCAGTAAAGAGCCAGAAGTTGGAATGTTTTTGAAGAAGAAAGTGGGCAAATTGGATCATCTTATGGCCTACCCAACTTATGAGGTGCCTTTAGGTGTTCCAAGTGATGGCCAGTTGCTTGCATTGTTTAGAAGTTATTTTATGGCATTGTTGGCTGAAAAACATATTTTTAGAGGCAAGAAGACGTGCCACAATATCAGATTTAAGCATAGTTCTTGCTTTTGCTAAAACTGTTTGACTAGTTTTATGCTGCATAAAGCATCATTGATTCCCTGATCTTTCCAGCTGTTAATGCCTCTGTATGCTTTTGTCTGCATTTTCCTTCCAGACTATTTCTTTTGTCTACATAGTGACTGCGATTGTGGGAGTTGAGGCCTGGTATGAACCTTTCCTGTTTAATTTCTTATATAGAGACCTATTCACTACAATGATTATTGGTAAGAAGCCCCATGTTGAAGCCTGTTTTAACATCACTTTGTTATCAAAGCTAGTGTTTGATTATAACAAGCAGCAACACCCCTTCCCCTTCCCGACAGTCCTACAACCCTATAGGATTTCAGCCTAATCATTAAGGAAAAATAAGGTTTCTTTGTGTATCTTTTTGTTGTTGTTGCTCAGCATCAAGCTATTCTTAATGAGAAGAAAATACCAAAATAGGTCACACAAACTTATAAATAATTTAAAGTAATCTAGGTTGTATTGGAGGATCCACATGTAGGTGACATTTGGTACAGATATTCTACTTATCTCAAAGTTGATTATTAGTTTGTAGGAAAAAGAATAGAGATTACTTTATGATATATCCACTCCAAAAATTGGGCCTCTGTTTATCTCGGGTATCCTCCTCATGCTACTGAATGCGAGGTAAAGGTTTTGACCATGGAAATGTTTCCCTTTTGATTTTAGCTGAAGGGGATTTCTACAGGACGATTGAGTTAGGGGAGAGTGTCTCTAGGGAAAGAGGCAAAAAGGAAGAGGAATCTGGATTACTTGGGGCATCAGGAGTAGCACTAAAGACCTTTGTAGAAGTAAAAAAAGCTTACTTATTGGCTATTGCTGTTTCCTTATCTAAAAAATAACCCTGTCTCTGTATTGGTGAACCTTGGTAATGGAAGGGGAAGTAGGTAAGGTGTAGAAACAGCTGAGAAGATGGTGCCTTAGGCATTGGCTTTCAGAAAAAGAGTGGTTTGTGCCCTTTTCATGGCTCTGAACCACAGATATTTTAGGAACCCTGCTGTAATCTGCCAAATGTTCACCTTTTGGTAACTACATAAACTGTGATTACCATCCCTTGACAAGGCTAACTATTTTTCATCTCCCATCATGTAGTGGATCTTTTGATTTAAGCAGCTTATCATATGGCAGTTTGTTGCATTTTACATTTTTTATTTTTTATTTTTTTGCATTTTACATTTAAATGTTAAGTGTAAAGATTAGGTGGAATTCTCTGATAATATGAGATATGCTTTTGAATGTTAAGTGAGTGCTTTATTGGACACATCATTTTGTTTCTAATTTATAAGTTTATCTGAATTCTTCCCTCTGAAATAAAACAGAAGCCCACATGTTTTTGTACAAATCATTGAAGTAGCTTTTCCAGTAGTAGATTTGAGTAAACACAAATAGACAGAAGGGCCTTAGTGCTTAAGCTACTTAGTTTCTGCCAATAAAATTAGTAGTGCTGGTCTTGGGGTGACTGGGGTGCACTAGAGCCTCTGGTTAGGCAAAGAATGGTCAAAGGTTGGTAGGAGGTGGAGTGGCTCCTGTTTGCTATTATGGAAGGTTACCTTCTTTGGGTACAACATACAGGCCACCAACAAAGCAAGATTCCCCACCCTAGTCCCCCCACCCCTTTTGTTTATTATGAAAAAATTTAAACATCTATATTTTTTCTATTCTTTCTGTTTGTTTATTTACTTATTTATTTTTTATTGATTTTAGAGAGAGGAAGGGAGAAGGAGACAGAGGTAGAAACATCAATGTTGAGAAAGAGTCATTGATCGGCTGCCTCTTGCATGCCCCCTACTGGGGATCGAGCCCACAATCTGGGCATGTGCCCTTGACTGGAATCAAACCCAGGATCCTTTGGTCCACAGGCCAATGCTCTATCCACTGAGCCAAACTGGCGAGGCCTATTCTTTCTACTTTTATATAATAGACCCCTATGTGCCATCACCTGGCTTTAACAGTTTTCAATTTAAGTGCCAGTCTTGTTTCTAATGCATAACTACCATAACCCTTGGGTTATTTATAACATAGTAGAGGCCCGGTGCACGGATTCGTGCACATTGAAAGGAAATTAACTAGAAGGTGGCCGGTGGGGTGGGACTGGGCGAGATGGATTGGACATGCCCTGGAACTAATCTCCTGCAGTCCCTCCCCAGCCGGCCACACCTGGGGTGGCGTTGGGGCTCAAAGGGCATCTGCGGAGTGAGTGGGGCCCCTCCGGCAGGTGGGGTTCCTCAGCCTGGCCTGTGGGGATCGGGCTGAAACTGGCAGTCTGACATCCCCCGAGGGGTCCCGGAGTGCGAGAGGGCACTCTGCAAAGTTGCTGTCGCTCGGCAGCTCCTGTGTTGAGCGTCTGCCCCTGGTGGTCACTGCATGTCATAGCTACCAGCAGTTGGCTAGTCGGCCGGTCGCTTAGGCTTTTATATATATAGATACTCTCTTATAATTACCAACTATTTACCTTTTCTGCTGCACTTCATTCCTTCCTGAATATCTGACTTAAAATATGCTGTTCTTTCTCAGAAGTCTGAAGTACTTCTTTTAGTATTTATTGTAGAGCAGGTCCGATAGCATTGTATTCTCTGTTTTTGTTTATGTGAACATATTTTGATTTTTGCCTTAGTTTCCCCACCACCACTTTGAATATGTCATTCTAATGTCCTGTGGCATCCACTGTTTCTGAGCCAGCTCTTTCATCATTGTCACCCTGTATGTAATGTGTCATTTTTCTCTTGTTGATTTTAAGATTCTTTACCTTTTAAAAGTTTGACTGTCATATACATAGGTGTGGTTTTCTTTTCTGTTTGTTCTTCTTGGTCTTGAGCTTGTTAGATCTGTAAGTCAATATTTTGACTAAATATGGGAAGTTTTCAACCACAGTTTATTTCTTCAGATTTTTTTCCTGTCTCTCTTTTCTCCTCTGGACTTCATTTGCATGTATGTTAGATTGCTTCTCATGATATTGTCCTATAGGTGATTTTTATGAAGCTTTATTAATTTTACTGTAATCTTTTTTCTCTCGATATTTTTATTACATAACTAGAGGCCCGGTGCATGAATTCGTGCACCAGTGGGGTCCTTCGACCTGGCCTGTGGGATTAGGCTGAAACCGGCTCTCCGACATCCCCTGCAGGGTCCTGCATTGCAAGAGGACACAGGCCAGGCCAAGGGACCCCACCAGTGCACAATTGGAGCCGGGGAGGGACTGTGGGAGGGCGCCAGGGTGTGTCTGGCCCATCTCACTCAGTCCTGATCAGCCAGACCCAGCAGCAAGCTAACCTACTGGTTGGAGCGTCTGCCCCCTGGTGGTTAGTGTACATAATAGCGACTGGTTGACCAGTCGACTGTCCGCCCCCTGATGGTCAGTGCACATCATAGTGACTGGTTGACTGTCTACCCCCTGGTGGTCAGTGCATGTCGTAGCGAGCGGTTGAGCAGCCTTAGCATATCATTAGCATATTACTCTTTGATTGGTTGAACGGCTGACTGGGCACTTAGCATATTAGGCTTCTATTATATAGAATTTCTATTCATCTGTCTTTTACTTACTGCTTTTTAATTCTTCTGCTATCTCCCATGCTTCTTAAGCTATCTGGTGAATTTTTCATGGAACCTATCATTTAAGTTATCATACTTTTCAACTCTAGATTTTCCATTTGTTTTTTTTTTTACACTCCATTTCTCCATTGAGATTCCCTATTGCTTTATTGTGTGGATGTACCATAGTTTATTCAACTGGCCTCCTACTGGCTCCTTGAAATCTGCTTTGAATCAGCAAACTGTCTTGCCACTCTTCCACTTGTAAATATTGTTCAGAAAAGGGTTATATTTCATTACAGAAGTAAACTGGAATCTAAAAAGCATTGGGTCTAAAAATATTACATATTTTGTATGTATTTATTATAAAAGTCACTTGAATAATAATCCTGATGATTTAAATATTCTTCCCTTTAGGTTGTGCATTATGTGTGACTCTTCCAATGAGTTTATTAAACTTTTACAAGTAAGTATTTCATTTTGTAATTGGATAAGAAATTGTTATTTAGATGAATTTTAAGATCTCTCCTTTTGGAATCTGGATATTTTGAAAAGGTTGTGAAATCTGTATTTTGAATCTAGAAGGAAATTAGGATAATTTAGTATATTTATGGTGGCTTGTGTAGTCACTTCAACCATAGCACAAAACTACTTGTTCTTGTTCTTTTGCTACAGTTTTAGGCTCACCAAACAGTCTTCTAATTTGCCATTTTTTTTTTGTGAGTGAATCCACAGGAAGGTATTCCTATTGAATATGGATGCATTTAAATATATTTTTACTGATTTCAGAGAGGAAGGGAGAGGGAGAGATAGAAACATCAATGATGAGAGAGAATCACTGATCAGCTGCCTCCTGCACACACCCCACTGGGGATGAGCCTGCAACCCTGGCATGTACCTCAACCCGGGAATTAAACCATGACCCTCCTGGTGCAGAGGTTGCTGCTCAACCACTGAGCAGCCACACTGGCCGGGCTGATATGCTTACATTCTGTTTTATAAATTGATTATCTCTCAGTTTACTTAGCATGATCATAAAAAACACACACACGAAAACTTCTGAACTTGTATAGTTTAGGACCAAACTCTAGACCTCTGCTGGCTCTTCTAAAATAGCATTATATAGAATTCCTGCCTGCGGGGATGGTAGGCTTTGGGGAGGGGAGTTGCGCAAGTGGAGTTTCATTTTTCTGACCTATGCACTTCCCCACCCTGTGTAGCCTCACTGAATTTCTTTTTGTGACCTGAATATATTCTGCTCTCCTCCCCAGTATTTTTGCTCTTGTTGTTTCCTCTACTTGAAAAACTTTCTTGTACTTCCTCCTTCATCCTTCAGCTCTCAAATCTGTCTGCAAAATCCTGTCCATGTCAAGCTAAGCTCTGTGAATCTTCCCTGTTTATTGCAGAGTCATTCATAGAAACCATAAAATTTAAAGCTCTGAAGGCCACAGAGATTATTTGAGTCATTTCTTCCTCATCTTCTAAAGGTGCGGTCTTGATTGGGCAACACCTTGGCCAAGGGCATGCAGTCAGCGGCAGAACCAGGGCTAGAATTTGGGGCTCTGTTCAGATGAGCAAACGTGTCTAGTGATGCTAGAGTGCTATCAGCAGTCTCATTTCAGAATCTTCCAGGTGAATTATTTCTCACTTTAAGCTCTCTGTTCACTGTGAGATCCTCTTGTAGTATTGCTTTATGTTCATTTCCTTTTTCCTATTAGAATATAATCTCAAAGAACAGTGATTTTCAACCTTTTTCATCTCATGGTACACAGAAACTAATTACTAAAATTCTCCAGCACACCAAAAAATATATATTTTTTTGCTGATCTGACAAAAAAAAAGAGGTATAATTTTGATTCATTCACACCGGACGGCTATTGTTGTGTTGGCTATTGTCATTTTTTTTTAACTTTTAAAATGAATTTATTGGGGTGACATTGGTTAATAAAATTATATAGGTTTCAGGTTGTCACTTAAAAATATATTTTTTTATTGATTTCAGAGAGGGAGAGAGAGAGAAATATCAATGATGAACCCTCCTACAAAGGTGTGTCTGTGGTTCCGTCTTTGGACACATAAGAACTGGAGGCAAAGAAATGTGGGCTTGGAGAAGTCTGGAGCCAGCTTGCTCCCTGCAGGCTCAAGATCAACCATCCCACACAGGGGGAAAAAATGGAAATGATGCTCTATCCACTGAGCCAAGTTGGCTAGGGCAAGTTATGTCAATTTAAATTCTCACATCTTCACTTAACCTGTCTGTTAAAATGGGGTTAATAATGTTGATTGTTACCTATGCCATAGGACTGTGGTGAGTATGAAATTAGGGAATAAGTCTGAAAGTACATTAAAACTATAAAACACAAGTATAATATAAGTTTTATGTGTAATAATGTTCTTTGTATTACTTGATTTGTTTTTTCCAGAAGCTGTAAAAATAACAGCTTGAAACACAATTCGATCTATGAAGCTCTGGTCCCCTTCTTTTCTCCATGTTTGCTATTCATTTTGTCTACAGCCTGGATTCTCCAGTCACCTTCCGATATTTTAGAGATGCACCCTCGAGTATTCTACTTTATGGTTGGAACAGCCTTTGCCAATATCACAGTAAGGTTTTTTCTTTTAAAAATCTTAATATATATAAGGACTATACGACAGTTGATAATTTGAGAAACCTTATACAGATTAGAATAAGCAGATATTAATTTAAAGATATTGTCATTCAAAATTTGAGAAAATAATAACCTCAAAGGCAGAAATTATTTTTTTCCTTTGAAACCAATAGGATTTAGAGACGGCAGTAGTATTTTGGAACCATAGCATACTTGAGCTTTTTGTTTTGGTTGCCTGCTGAAGAATTCATGGAATAATTTTAAATTCCTTTCAGACTGTAAAAATTATTAACAGTGTCATTAAAATGGCTATAGATCTAATGATTAGTTTAGGGAGCTTGAAACGGGTTTTTGCGAGAGAGAAAACACATCATACACACACCCCACACATTTTTTTAACCAACTGATTTTTAAATTAAGGACATGGGATTATACACTAGGTAACAAATAACAGCATATTTTTAAAAATTAGGAGTTGAGAAAAGACCCTGATAGTTATGGAAGCCGGGAACCCTGTGCTCTTGCTCAGGCCAGGTCCTTAATAAGTTTTTTTATTTTCTAAGCTTACGTTTCCATGTATTAAAGCATTTATGAATGAATTTGAGTAAGGTGTTGAAAGTAAAGGGAGCCACAGAGGTTTGAGGCGTTAATATGGTAATATGAGAAATTTAGTTGTGTGGGAGGCTGTTTTGAAAAAAAATTTTTTTAAGGTCACAAAGAGTCTTAAAATTGGGAGAAACTTTTACCCACACTATTATCTAGTGGAAGAATGCCTTCTGTGGCATCCTTTCTACACTCTTCTGACATGCACGTGGTCTGCGGGTCCACAGGTTTGAAGGTGGGGGGCAGAGATCCAGTTGGCCCCTGCTCTGATCACATTACTGAACTTAATGTAATGCGAATGTGTTGGCTCAGGTACTTGAATCCTTCTTAAATGTTGGTGTGACAAGTTTTGGAAGTGTTTTGCTAATTAAATTTTATTCCAATCCCCCCCCCTCCCCCCCTTTTTTTTTTTTACTAACTTCAAGTGTCAGCTGATTGTTTGTCAAATGAGCAACACCAGATGTCCAACTTTGAATTGGTTGCTGGTTCCTCTCTTCTTGGTTGTCGTGGTGGTAAACTTAGGAGTCGCCTCTTATATTGAGAGCATTCTCCTATATACAGTAACAGCTGCTTTCACTCTGGCCCACATCCATTATGGAGTACGAGTGGTGAGTAATTGAGAACAAAACTGGTTCCATTTGGTTCTTATGAAAAGAAAGAAAGTGAGGGAAAATTGTAAATGAAAGTTTGCTTATTATAGTAGCTAGGAGAATTTTGGTATATTCTCTAAATGTTTTATAATATCCAGGTGTGTCACTTTAAATATTGTTTCTCTAATGAGTATGTTATAATAACTACAAATAATTTAAAAGCTGGATAATTATAAGGAGTCAGTTCTTGTTTTTAAGCCGGTAGAAATGTAAAACATTTTCTTGTTGAATAGAATTATAAACTCCTTTGTGCTTTTAATTATATAGGATGAGATGATCCCATTTGTTGATTATTTCTCTGCATACTTTAGCTCTAGGGCAGGGGTGGGCAAACTTTTTGACTCGAGCGCCACAATGGGTTCTTAAACTGGACCGGAGGGCCGGAACAAAAGCATGGATGGAATGTTTGTGTGAACTAATACATGTTAACACTGCTGCTGGTGAAGGATCGGAGGGGAGAGCAAGAGAACCCTCCGCTCTTTCGGCTCCGCAGGCCGGATAGAACAGCCGAACGGGCCTCGGGCCATAGTTTGCCCACGGCTGCTCTAGGGGCATTTTTATTGCTCGTTACTATAATTTGGAGAGAAACTGGAATTGGTTTTGTAGCACTGTCTCCCTCTCTCCTCCCCCTGCATGTGGTAAAGAGGTTAGAACTTCTGATGTAAGGCTTTTGCATTATTTGAAGTTTACTTTATGCTATTTCTGAGTTCTCATCAGGAGAAATAATAAATAAGGGTAAATATAGAAGAGAAAGGATTTAAGAAACATTATGCAAACCATAATATAATCTTCTAAAAATAAGAGACCAATCTTGTCACTGGTTCCAGGGACCTGGCCCTGAGCGGGTCTGCCAAGGGCCGGCACGTAGTGTGGGTTACTGACTTCATCCGGGGAAAAATGTCACAACACGAGTCCAGGTGACTGTGAGGGAACCTTTATTAAAGCTGGGGACAGTGAAACAAAGAAGGGCTTATTAGTGTAGAAGAAGCAACAGGAGAGCCTAGGCTGGGCTCTAGTAGCTCTCTGGGAAACCAGAGAAAAGGGGACTTGGGAACAGGTTGAGGGTTATCCTGGGATGAGCTGCCGCTGCCCATTGCTCCCTACGTTATAATTCTCCTGGGGTCCCTTCAAGTTTAGGAGATACATGCCTGTGGGGGGAGAGGGGAGGGGAGAAGAGAGGAACGGGAATGGGGGGAGCTGCTCCCCAGAGGGAGAGCTAGGCCCTTTGTCTTGAGGCTTTTATCTCTTTCTTGCAGGCGGGAATCTCAGGGGAGGGTTTCAGCAGAATAATATTCATCCGTTTTCTAGGTGTGCTCCTTCAGGCTCATGGTCTCCACTGATTGGTCATTGTCAGGGCCGGGGGTCATTGGTCATTGCAGCTGGTCCTGGATTCTCCCACAGGTTTTGCTGCTTTTTGGGCCAGGAGCTGAAATACCGCTGCTGAGGCCTCGATGTTATCTCTAGGGAGGGACCTTCTGAATCTGCAGTAATTGCTCTGTCAGTTTGTTCAGCTGCCTCAGTTTCCCTAGTCTGCTTGTCCTGGCTTGCTGGCCTGTCTCAGTTTCAGGACAAATGAATGAAGACTGATGTAATAAAATGAAAATCAGAACCGTGCAGTTTGTTTTCTTTTTCATCACACTTTAGCATTATTTTCTAATTATTTTACATATTTTAATATGTACATAATTATGATTTTTAAAATAGTATAGCATATTCTATCAAGGAGATTGCTTAATAGTAACCCAATTTACTTAATTATGATTCAGTTATTTTAATCATTTAGGTTGTTTCCAAATTTTCACTATTATAAATAATGTTGGAGTGAACAATCTGGAGTAATATTTTTTCTTTCATTTGCTTTATTTTCTGGGATACTTTCATAGGAGTGGGGTTATGTAGAAGGCTATTCACACTTTTATGTCTCTTAAAACTCTTCTATTTAGTATGCTTGTTTGGAAAGGAACCCTGCTGTGAATCAATTATAGAAAACAATAATATATTGTTGTTCATAGTTATCAAGGGGGTGCACCTGTCATGCTTGATAACAACTTTATACTTTGCACGTTATTAAACTTAGGCTTTTTTCCCTTATGTTTCTCCCCAAAGTAGCCCACGTTTGTTGGGACAAAATCGATGAAATTGTTATGGAAAAAAAATCATGATAACTCTACAAATTATAATATGAAGACATAATTGTCTATGTTTTTATTTGTGCAAATTTAACATTATGTTATATAGCAGCACTTGTAGGCCTTTATCCTGGTATTTCATCAGGCACCTGCATGATGGGGAACACAGTTGCCAATGTTTTTATTTATATATATATATATATATATATATATATATTTTATTGATTTCAGAGAGGAAGGGAGAGGGAGAGAGAGAGAAACATCAATGATGAGAGAGAATCATTGATTGGCTGCCTCCTGTACGTCCCCCACTGGGGATCGAGCCTGCAACCAACCCTAGGCATGTGTCCTGACTGGGAATGGAACCATGACCTCTAGGTTAGAGGTCAATGCTCAGCCACTGAGCCATGCTGACCAGGCTGCTAATATCTTTTGTAATTGTTTTAATTTATTATAACCCTTCAGAAGCATATCTTCAGAAAATCATACATACACCAAACCAAACCAAAACACATTTTTATTTAAATTTCCTTTGTTAGAAATCTGGAAAATAGATACAAGCTAATTGAAAGAAATTACAGAAGTGTCTTTTTTTGTCGGTCTTTGTGTTCTCTTACCACTTCTGCAACTTCTGACCAGAAAGTGAAACTTGCTCTAAGTCATACAAAACATTCACCCGAACTATTGAAATATAAGTAATACAAATAAGGAAAGAAGTAAGAACTAGCAAACAAATGATATTTACTAACTGGCACATAACCAAGATCTTGCAAACCTATTGGTGATACCCTAACTCAGTGGTCGGCAAATCGCGGCTCGCGAGCCACACGCAGCTATTTGGCCCCTTGAGTGTGGCTCTTCCACAAAATATGCGCGCATGTACAGTGCGATTGAAACTTCGTGGCCCATGCGCAGAAGTCGGTTTTCGGAAAGGAGATAGATGAAACAAGTATACAAGACGAGTGTGGATGGGAGAGTTGGAAGGGGTCGACCTCAGTGAACGTACCTCAATCAGATTGAGGACGTTTTTAGCAAAGGCCAGCTTAGGAGGACCCTCATTAAGTTACTAACAATGTACCTACCTATTTAGTTTAAATTTAAAAAATTTGGCTCTCAAAAGAAATTTCAATCGTTGTACTGTTGATATTTAGTTCTGTTGACTAATGAGTTTGCCGACCACTGCCGTAACTAATATGTCCTAAACCTCCCAAAATGTGTACAGATGTAGTTTTAAACTCTTTCATCAGGATTAGGAATGATATAAAAAAATGTTATAAAAAGCTGAATATTGAGTCTCTCTCTATATAAATATTTGACCTACTAGCTGGTTTAAATCAACTAACCCTATAATTCTTCAGTAGATTTGATGTGAATCTGTATGGTCTGGAGGGCTCTGGAAAGACTAGAACTATGGAGACCCAGGTTTAAGTCCTAACTCTCCCAGGATAGATCTAGTACTCTTATTTAGCCCTCTAGGTTCATAGCTATACTAACCCAGACAAAACTTCATTATGTCTGATGATTTTTGCTGTGTCAGTAAATTGTTGTCTTCAGAGGGTGAATTCTGTGTGCTTTAAAAAAAATAATTAGGGGCGGGGGTGGGGCGGGGCGGCGGGGAGGGCGGGCACTGTGCCCGCACATGCGCGCGCAGGGCCAAAAAAAATTAGGTCCATATTGGTCACTGCCTCCTTTTCTGGTTTTATATAGGTAAAGCAACTGAGCAGCCATTTTCAGATTTACCCGTTCTCATTGAGGAAACCCAACTCAGATTGACTAGGAATGGAAGAAAAGAACATTGGCCTGTAATCTACAGAAAGAAGTACTGTAAATACGATGCTTGTAAATATTTCATCTATCACCATTGAACTAAACTGATCTGCTTAACAGACATGGGAACTCTGTGTGTGGTACTTGTACAGCAAGAATGATATATATAATCTGAAATGTGGAATTTTGAACCTACTAACTCCCACCTTATTTTATTTTTTATTAAACCATGTGATGTTTTGGGGAAGCCTAATGTACATGAGACCAGCAAATGTTTTTAGTGATTTTAACCTCCTGAGTCCATAATGTTTTTGGTTCATACAGAGTTAAAGATGCTTTATTTTTATTATTTAAAACAGCCCCAAATTGGTTTAAAACACTGATGATGTTCAGAAAACCACAGTATGTTTTCATATTTGGTACTTAGTAAGAGGCCGTTGGCTCTGGAAGCTATCAGTAGTCCACATCCAACATCAGGAAAAGAGAAGAGCAAGTCACCTTCAGCAAGAGATGCCAAATGATTACAGAACAATATGACGGTTTGCCAATATACTGGTTTCTCTTTCCCATGGAAATGCCTTTGTCCTCCTGTGCTAAGAGAGCTAGGATATACGTTTAGATTCTCTAATATTCTGGCTCTCTTTGTGAGGGAGCAGAGCGTGGTAAATGGTTTAGTTTCCTTTTAAAGAAAAACATTCTATTGAGACTCAGTAGAGAGTGGATTGTAACTGTAGCTCACCCATGGGCATGGTTCATTGTTTCAGTGTGGCATTCCCCCCCCCTCGGCTATAGTTGCTGAGATTTGGTGCCTGAGAACTGATTAAGTGAATGCATGTGCCAGTGTGAGTCTGATGGTAGTGACTTGCGAGGAGCACAGATGAACTTCCTTCTTGGAGAAATGGGCTTTGGAGCCAGGATTCTCACGAGCCTCACTATGAAATGACTGCTGGGAACCTCACTACAAAGTTAGTTTTGTAATTCAGTTTGTCCTTCTTTCCTTCCTCTCTGCCTGTGGAGGAGCGAGTGCTGTATTTTTTATTTTATTCAGGATAAAGAAGGAGAGAGAAACCCTCTCTTCTCCAGCTTGCCCACCTTCCCACTTGAAGAAATTTTTTTAATATATGCCTTACTGAGTATGTACTCTCTTTAATAATACCTGGAACAATTTTTGAGGTTTACGGACAAGCATCAAAATAGATCACACCTTTCCATGAATGTAGATATTTTCTTCTTCTTCTTTTTTTTTTTTACTTTGTCTCCATTTACTTTGGTGGTGGTGAAATTTACTCCCTGATTTTCTTTTATTTTTCACTGAATGAAGTTTGTGCTTGAATGAAGAGTGTATCTTAAACCCTTTTTTTGGATGGATTGCACTTGGATAAAATAGGCACCACTGTGTTGATATGTAATTAATTTCATAACCATTATTTATCTAGGAATGTGACCATTTTAAAATTTAATTATATAGTGTATTTCTTGGTTGAATGTCTGCTGCTTTGTAAAAATAACTATGTAATTGATATTTCAGTTCCTAAATTTGCAAATTCTAATAATTGTCATCTAGGTCATTAGACATGAAGAGTCAAGGAGCTGATCTCATGGTTCTGTACTCATTTTTAAAAATGTTTGTAAAGGTTGAGGTATATTCAGTGACTTTCTCTGAAACAAAAATGAACACTGAAAATAGGTGAGAAATTGATGCTGTAAAATGTGGGTAGTGATTCCATGTTTGTTGATAAGTTGCCATCATAGAGGTCAGAGAATGAATTAGTTAAGTGAGGGGAATGCTCTTTTCAGTAGACCTTGTTCTGTGTCATCTGTAAAATTGAACTGGAGAAAGTGTTCTCTTGGGCTGGGAACAGAGCTTTGCTTCAAGGTTTCTGAGCTAATCATTTCACTGTTTTGTTGACCTTGTACACAAGAATGAGGTTCATCTGTACTAGATCAGAAAGGAACTGATAAATATTTATAAAATGATACATTTGGACCACAGGCTTTCTTCACCTTATAGTATAGTGAGAAAATACCTCTTACTTCTGGCATAAGGTCATGTCCTGTCATTTGGGGGCTATTACCTCAAAGTGTGTTTCTGCTCTCTTTCTGTTGCATCAAGTTCATTTGAAAATTGTTTTGTGTCTATACTTTATGACTTATTTCCCTATGGTGGTGAAGAATGGTGCCATCGTCGGTTTTTTTGACATCCTTAGATGAAAGGAAGGTGACTGTCAGCAAGGTGAAAGTAAACTGTGATGAACTGTCTCAGAACATCGTGAACTGTGCTTCTGGAGTGTACTGCTGACGCGTGTTCTTGGTGTAGTCAGTCTGCCATCTTCAAGTGCATCTTGAAAGTCCCCATGTGTTAGGTAGTGATGGGGTGCCTGAAGCAGGACTTAGTTACAAGTAGCTCTGTGCATTTATGTCATGCCAATTATCACGACATTTCCAAAGTATAAAAGATATTTCAGGCTTATGCATGATATTTGGGGTGAGTTCACACCTCAGCCTTTCTCCCAGCATACACTGAGCTGCCTTTTTGGGGGAGCATTGGGATGATTGGTCACCCCTACATGCTTTCTGTACTTTTCAGAATAGAGTGCCTTAGCCAGGCCAGAGGTGTACTTTGTGTTTCTACTGACCAAAGTTACCTAGACCTGTAAGAGAAGCTTCTTTTCAGGTTATGGTATGAAAAATGCCCTTTCTTGCTTGTCAGAAAAGAATTCCCCTGTATTTGAGGGGGGGCACGAGATAGAAAAATTAGAAAATACCTGGATACAGAATGTTAATGCTGCCTTTTGTGAACTTTAATAACATGATCATCACAGTTTAAATTTGTTACATTTTAAATTGTCATTCCTCCAATAATATGTAATGAATACAGTTTATGGGTTTTAGTCTTAAGGGTAATAGAATAACTTCCAAGTAGAAAACTAAATGATCTTCCTTGATATTTAATAATATCATGGTTAATTCTAATTTAAAACTACTTTTAATTCTAATTTAAAAAGAAATGCTGATGGTGGTCTAGAACAGCCGTGGGCAAACTACGGCCCGCGGGCCGGATCCGGCCTGTTTGAAATGAATAAAACTATTGAAAAAAAAGACCGTACCTTTTTATGTAATGATGTTTACTTTGAATTTATATTAGTTCACACAAACACTCCATCCATGCTTTTGTTCCGGCCCTCTGGTCCAGTTTAAGAACTCATTGTGGCCCTCGAGTCAAAAAGTTTGCCCACCCCTGGTCTAGAATGTTATGTACTACTACCAACATGTCATTTATTTTAATATAGCGCTATTAGGAGAGGAATGTATCTCTAGAGTTGCCCAAATTCCAAATTAGATACCAAAAGACCATTGACCATGGTCTGGAACCTGGGCACTGGGGGAATATGCATAGGAAAAAAACATGCGCCAGACCTACTTGAAGGGAAAGTAGGGATCACCTTAATGCCTCATGCCCATGGCGCCCAATGATAGAAGTGTAATGCACATTTTAAAATTGTCACAATATAGCTCATCATCCCTCCACTAATTTTAGATTCAAATGTGAATTTGAAAGTTTCCTAATTGTTTGATTGACAAAGAATTAGCGTATTTTGTAGTCAATCATAAAGGATTGGGAGTGTACCTTGCTGTCCAAAGCAGACTTTGATTCTGTGACCGATGGAGAATAAAAAGATCATCTGGAGGTGTTTGATCAAAGGCTACTTTCCCCCTTACATTCTAAATAGAAGTCTATTTGCAACTCTTCCTCTCCAGTCTTCACCTGCGTTTCATTTCACCTAACCGCTGCCTGGGACAGAGATGCCCACTTACTGTGTTGCCCCAGATCTTGCCACATTCAGATCTCCTTGATTTGCCTTTAGAAATCTTGTCCATTAGTCAAGGACTGGGAACGTGCCAGAGGGAACGAAGTAAACCCGGTGGGCTAGAACGTTGACGTTGGGTTTCCAAATAAGCCAAAAGCAGGAACAGAAATTTTTGGTTGTGTTGATTCCTGTGTTCAGAGTGGCCTTTACCTTGACCTCAGTTCTGGACTTGATTGAGCACTCTATTTATAGGAAATTTTGAAGTCAGACTAGAATCTTCTTTGTCCTATGAGATTTCTCTGTAAGGCAGCGTGCCCTTTCTTGAACACCCTTTGGGTGAACAACCTTAGTATGTTAGCTGCCAGTACTAGAACCTTCCAGGGATTTTAACTAGTACGCTGCATTTGAAGCGCTTTGACATGTACGTTTAAAGTGACAGTTTTAACAATAAAATGGTGTTAAATTAATCACTGTGAAACTTGAAGGTGTGAAGCTCTACATTTTAGGAAGCTTAAGTAGATTCTGATTTTCCTTAATTAATTATGAAATGTGATTTGTATATTTTACTTTTCATCTTGGACAGTGGTTCAAATGACTGACATGTTGGCAGGCAGCTACTGTTAGGGTTTATGGTAAATCATGGTGGTTTAACTTTTCCAGAGAAAGTGGCGATGTGTTTACCTTTTCCTTGCATGGAGCCATGGGAATTGGGTTTATTGGCTCATTCATTTCCAGTGTTTCTAAGTGCAAAATAAATGTCACCTTTTTAACCTGCATGCTAGTAATGTGCTTTGCTTTTTAGTAAACAAATATGGAAAAGATAGTCATCTGGCTGATTTTTGTTTGTTTTTAAGCAGGGACCTGCTCTTTATACAGACAGACCTTAAATAGCTAACACTTAGGATAGCAAAGGCAGTTTGTCACTTGTGTACCTCTCACAGGCGGCCTGAGCAAGGGGGTTGGGTTGCATTTGGTCAGAAAGGCCAGGTCCCCAGAATGGCAAAGTGGCACATGGGCTGGTTTTAGAATATTTTAATCGGCTCGTCTCCTTAGGGAAGTCCATGTGGCACAACCGGAGTGTCTGGTCCCACAGACCATTCACATTGCCTCGGCCTTCACAGAATCATTCTGGAAAGCCAGGCTGCATCCGAGTGTGCTGTTTTTAAAGCATGTGAGTGAGTTGGATCATGGCCATAGGGTACCTAATGCGACATTGAAATTAGAGACAGGTTTGTAGGCACAGGAGTGGCTGAATGCTCTGGGTGCCTAAGGCTCTTTGGCTACCTACTGTCTTCTCTTGAGCAGTTAATATGGGTAGCAATTAAAATTAGAATTAACTTTTTAAAAATTAAATTCTACATAATTCTCCATGAATTCTAGATTCTGGTATTCTTGACAAGCAATTTTTATTATCTGAGAAGTTCCTGACCAGGAACATGTTTAGTTAGTACTTGCTGTTATTAACCAGGAGCCTGTTTTAATTTTACAAGATCTCTGCATGCTGCATTATAAATCTGTTTAAAATACTGGTATCATTCCATATCAGACTTTGAATTGAATAACTACTATTTAAGATTGCCTCACAATATTAACTTTTTTTTGGTAGGTTATTTTGTTTTGATAACTTGCCCCATTAGAGCAGCCATACAAGAGACAAAGACCCAGCTACATGGGTTATTTACTCATTCTGAAATGTGCCAAGAAAGCAGAATTTAGTATTAAATTCTAAATTTCAACTTTTAAAAAAACAGGTAGCATTTCCTCTGGTAAAGGAGAAGTCAGTGGATAATCGCCAAGGTGTAGAGGCAGAAACTTCCCACTGCCATTTTCTCCCCTCCCTCCCCTCCCTTCCCTCCCCTCCCCTCCCTCCCTCCCTTCCCCTCCCCTCCCTCCCCTCTAATATAATAGATTAAATCTGTAACCAATTGCAGAATTGGATGCTTTTCTGAGTACGGTTTCATGCCCTGTGATTAAGAATGGGTGGCAGGAACCATGGCCGAATCAATTACTGTTGCAGTTTGCTTTCTGTAGATTCTGAAACAAAAAGACGGTTCCATCCCTTCTCAGGTACCTAGAGACAATACCACTCAAGCAACTGGAATATAGTTGCTACAAGTCGAATATATTATCGAAGAAGAAGAGGAGCACAAAATTTTATTTTCCCTTCCAAGTAGTTTAATTGAACATACTCATAATCAGTCTATCTAGGACTTGCTGTGTTTATAGTAAATCATGTAGCATTTATTTTGTCTGGTTATGTGCGATGTGTGTGTATATATACATAGTTAATATGTACACATGTATTCTCTGTGCATATGTATGTATGATCTATTCATGTGAACATGCAGTCTACTCTTGATTATCAGCGAGGTGGTGAGCCCTCCGTGCGCTTCCTTCCTGCTGACTTAATCTGCATGAAGCCCCTCGCTCGGTGAAGCCTCTCCCGCATCTGGAGCCACAGGCTTTCCTACGTCTAGCTCATCTCAGCCCAGGAAAGGCCCTTGAAATAAGTCACTTTCCATTTCCCTTTCACCGGGCACCGTGTGAGCCAGAAAGACCGCTTTGAGAAAGACGGATGCTTCCACCAGGTTGAGGCTTCAGGGTCTGAAGGTGATGGAGCCCATTCCTGGCAGGCAGGCAGCTCTGGGGCTTAGCGCTCCTGGGCTTGATGGGGAGAAACCTAGCTCTTGCGGAAGTGGGGCTTCGCAACTTGCTTCAGTTCCTTAGCAGGAATGTTGTAAAATCTTAGATAAGTCTTTGATGTACAACCGTGTGTTTCACCGATATATTTGCATCATCGGTGTTGCTGTTTCCCATCGCTACCCCAGATAATCAAGACCTGATTGTTTCTTGCCACTGGATTCCGGAAGCCTTGTCCTTTCAACTGGATTTATGTTTATTTCTGCTGCTGTGAAACCCAAAAGTAATGCAGTAGGTTTTAATTTAAAATTGTTAGATTCCATTATTGATAAATATTTAT